TCGCCCAACCTGGCACGAGGAGCGCCGAGGAAGAGAACAGACGGGGCCATTCCGGTTCCCCCCGCTCTTGCCCAACCTGGCGCGAGGAGCGCTGAGGAAGAGAACACACGGGGCCATTCTGGTTCCCCCCGCCCTCGCCCAACCTGGCACGAGGAGCGCCGAAGAAGAGGACAGATGGGGCCATTCCTGGCCACGGCGAGCCTTGGCCGCAGCTCCCCGACACACACACACACACACACACACACACGCACACACACGCACACACACACACACACACACACACACACACACGCACACACACGCACACACACACACACACACACCTGGGGGCGGCCACGAAATCGGAGGCCCCCCCGGACCCAGAGTGATGCTTCTGTCCCAGACCCAGCTGCAACTGGGGACGGCCAGATTTGAAGGAGCCCAAGGACACACAAATAAATACACACAAAGAATAGGATTCCCCATATTTTAGTATATATTCATGGTTTTCGTCTTCCCCCCCCCACTTCCCATATTTTCCTTGGAATCGGCGATGACTCGTGTCTGTGTGCTTTTGTTCCCTCCTGAAGATTGGGCGTTGCTCAGTGGGGCGGGCAATCAAGAGTGGGGGGGGGAGCGGCACCTTCTGTGCACCTTTCGGGCCCCAGGGGGCCCCTGTAGGGCCCGAAGGTGCACGAAAGGTGCACGCAAGGTGCGCCTCTCTTCACCCCCCCCGTGTATCGCCCCCTCCTTGGGGCAACGCCCGACCCAGTCAGGCGGCGCGCACAAGGGGGTAAAGGAACGGGGGGACGCTTCCTAGGAGGAGGTTGCTTCTCAGACGGCGCCGGCAGACGAGGCCTGCGCCTTCTCAGAAGCAGGGCTTCTTAGAAGCCTTCTCCCCTCCCCCTCCCCCCCTCTGCGCGTGGCCGACCAGGGCCACGTCGCGACCCCCAGCCAGCCAAGAACCAGTTCCTGGACCCGAGGGGCCAGCGGAGGGACAAGACGAGGGGGACTCGGCTCCGCGCGGCACCCGAACCCGGGTCGGCCAAAGAGGGGGCTGGCCGACCCCCGCCAGTGCGCCAATGCAGGATGGCGAGTAAGCAGAAAAGCACCAGGGAAACTGAACTGTCAAAGCGCATGCCCTATCCCCGCTCGGAAAGATTCTGGAGAGGACGACCACACAGGCCCGACGGTGACGCGAAGACGACGACGAAGCCCACAAGACCAGGCCCGGAGCCCAGCTCATCAGCCGCCCTCCAGGGTGCCGCTGCGCAACGGGACCCCCCATGGGGCACGCCTCGATCGCCACCCCGCGGGTGGCGCCGACCCCGCTGCGCCGCGCCCCGAGGATGGCCACCTCGTTGTAGAGGCTGGCGCTCTGCGGCACCGCGCGCGCCTGCGACTCCCGCAGCAGGGCCAGCGCGCCCTCCCACAGCTGGCCGTCCGAGTGGGCCTTGGCGGCGCTCGCGTAGGCCTGCTCGTCGAGGCCGCCGCCCACGCCCCAGGCGTCCCTCGCCTCCTCCCACATTCGCACCGCCCACCGCCATTGCCTCCTGGAGGAGGAGGAAGAGGAGGAGGAGGAGGAGGAGGAGGAGGAGGAGGATCGCGTGGCGTCGGGTCGGGTCGGAGCAGTTCGGATCGGGATGTGCGGTACGGGATCGAGATCGAGCCGCAGCGGCCGCGTCAGGAGTCACAGCAGCGCAGCGCGAGCATCGGGCCGCATCGGATCGTCAGATTGTCGCTGGAGGTCCCAAAGCGGTGCGGTGCGGTGACGGACCGTGCGGTGACCTCGGCATCCCGAAAGACCTGACCGCACGGCCCGTCACCGCACCGATCTGGGACTTCGGAGTCCCGAAACGGTGCGGTGACAGACCGTGCGGTGACCTCGAAATCCCCCAAGACCTCACCGCACGGTCCGTCACCGCACGGTTTTGGGACCTCGGAGGCCCCTGTCGCCCGAGACATCCTCGGAAGGGGACTCGAGTCCCAAAACCGTGCGGTGACCCCGAATCCCCACCGACTCACCACACGGTGTGGTCATCACACCGTTTGGGGGCCCCCGAGGGACCCTGGAGGCCCCAGGCCCCCCGAGAGGTCGCCGGAGAACGCCCCGAGTCCGAGGACCGCGCGGTCACCCCATATCCCCAAAGACTCACCACACGGTGTGGAGACCGCACTGCTTAGGGGCCCCCCATTCGGGGATGGACAGACCTCCCTTTAGTAAAACGTGGTTTAGTGAAAACGACTTCGGGCCCAAACCTGGCGGGCGCAAGCCTGGAAAATAACGGCCACGGCGCCCTCTCGAGAACCGAAAACGGACAATTCACTAATCGACGTGTCACTGTTGGGGGTTCTGTCCACCCCCGACCCATCCTGGAAACGAATCAGATCGAGGCGGCCAGAGCCGATATCGATCCGGGTCGATCGCGGGATTGTTGGCATCGAATCGGGCCTCACGAGCTGAGAACGTATCCATACCCACGCCCTCGCCGTCTGAATTCTGGGGCGCGATCCCGCGGATGCACCGTCGCTCGGATGCGTTCCATGCGGGCCGCGAACAAAACGCCCCAGACCCGAGGGTCCGCGGCCCAGGGGCCCGGCACGCGAGGCCGTGGATGCGGAAAATGAGGAGCTTCGCCAACGATGGTCGGAGCCACTCCACGGACCTCTCCTGGCGGTGCGTGCTGACCAGGATTTCGGGACGAATCCAGCGGTGGCGACGAAGGACTCCCAGGAGGCCCAGAAAAGGCGAAGACAAGGGAAGGTCAGCGGTGTATCTCGGGTGCTGCTAGAAGCGCTCCTGGCCCGAGGTGCCCCCAGGATTTCCAAGGCCCCCAAACGGCGTCCGGAGCACCTCTGACGAGGCTCCGAGGGCCCAAGGGGCTCCAAAATGGAGCGGAAAGCTGGGGGCGCATTGGGCAAACCCCCGACCAGAAGGCGAAAACCAGGGAAGGTCAGCATTATCGGTACTTTTGTTCTGGAGGTCTCCCACATGGGGTCCTAGTAGATGGGATCCGAAGACGGCGCCGCATTGCCAACGCATCGCCGATGCGTCGGCGACGCTGGCGACGCACCGGCGCCGAAGGCGCGGAGGAGATCGGCCTCCACATCAAGCCGCACAGCCGATGCATCGGCGATGCGGCGCGGACCCCGCCTGGGAGGCCCAGGCTCCCCTCCGCGGAGCATCGGTGAGGACTGATCGACCCAGGTCGATCGATCGATCGGGTCCCCGTCCTGCGGGCGCAGGCGCCGAGGACGCTCGAGAAGTCCGCCGCGCTCCGCCCGCCCGCGCCGCCCCCCGAGGCGAAGAGCAGCGCGAGGGCCGTCTCCCACGCGCCCGCCCTGGAGCGCTCGGCGAGGGTCGGAGAAGGAGCTGCACAACACACACACACACACACACACTTACACACTTCAGAGGAGGAACAAGGTCTCCATACCGCTACCCTTCCCTCGCTTGCCCCTGTTTGGGCCTCCTGGGAAGCCCTCGTCGCCACCGCTGGATTCGCCCCGAAATCCTGGTCAGAACACTCCCCGGCAGAGGTCCAGAGAGTAGCGGTATCGGTACTGTTTGGTTTCCCCTATGAACAGGTGGTGGCATCCGAACTCGACCCCCACCAAACATCGATTCTCCTGAATCGACAGGAGGCGGGGCAAAGATCGGATCTCGCCACACGCCCAACGAATTCCGAACCCCACCCCACCCGCCAATCGAGTTGCCTGCATGTTTGGTCGGCGAGTGTAGGGCTCGGGTTCCGCCGCCGAATGAACTTTCAGAGCTCCGGGCGGATTTATCGGCTCTTGAGGGGCAGAGATGGAGGGGACTAGCGGAGAGCAAACACCGAGCAAAAATCGGCGATGCATCGCCGATAGATCGGCGATAGGCCCCAAAAGGCGAATCCGGAAGTTCATGGGTGAGGTGGGCAATCGGGCTCCTATCGGCGATGAATGGGCGATGAGGGGTCGATGCGCTCCCCTCGAGCCTATACCTTCCGAACGTTGCCACTGAGCTCTGCGTTGGGGCCCCTCTGGCGGCGCCTCCAGCGCCGCCCATGGCGCGCGAAGTGCGCCAGGGAGGGGGCTCCACAGCGGATGCAAGAAACCCACGCGGACCTATCATAATTCATGATTAGTGGGCTTGTTTTCCACCACCACCACCATAAGTAGGAGGGGGAGAATGTCCTCCTCCTCTTCCAACTCCTCCTCCTCCTCCTCCTCCTCCTCCTCCTCCTCGTCCTCGTCCTCGTCCTCGTCCTCGTCCTCGTCCTCGTCCTCGTCCTCCTTCCCCCTCCAACGTATGGTGGTGGTGGTGGAATACAAGCCCATGAATGGTTGTGTTGTGCCCTCTCCGAGATGAGGCCGCTCCAGAGCTGGTCCGCGCCAGGAAGCTTCCTCTCCAGCGCCCCTGCCATGTAGGCCAGTGCGGTGCGCCACCCGCCGGAGGACGCGAGCGACGACATCACGGTGCGGTAGTCCTCCAGGCTCTCCAAGAAACCATCCTTGATCAACTTGTCCACCAAATGGGCGGTCTCGCGGCGCCCGATCCGCGGCTGCCGCAGTCTCTTAAAATACCACTCCTTGGTCGCTTTCATCAGCGACGAGTGTGATCCAATGCCAGGGATAACGTCGTCGGACGCAGAGACAAAAAGGTCCGGCATGCCTTTCGGCGCCGCTCTGAGAGGGCCCATGCCCGCCTCCGCCTGGGCCAGAAGAGGCGGAGGAAGCTCGCAACCGCAAAAAAAAAACCTCGCCGCCTGAGCCAGAACATCTGCGCCGGGCGTTGGGAAGGAGGAATGGTAAAAAAATCCGCCGATCCGGCGTGTGAGCTTCAAAAAGCCTCAGCTACAGCCTACAGCCTACAGCCTGAGCTTCAGCTCTGCTGGGGGGGGGCCAGGGTGGCTCTGCCAGGGAAGGGGGGGAGGGGGGGGGGGGACGAGTTGTGCTCCGTTTTCCTGGGGGGCTCCTAGGGTTTGTCGCGGCTACCCGCGTGTCTCTGGGGAGGGCATTGTTTGACATCCCTCACGAGGATCGTGGCCTCCGAGGGGGTCCCGAACTCGAATACCCCCCCTCCCGCCCCAAGACGCTCCCGAGAGGCCCCTAAGAGGCCCCAAGAAGCTCCCAAGAGGCCCCCAAAAAGCTCCAAGAGGCCCCAACGAGGCCCCCAAGAGGCCCCAAAGTGGCCCCAAGAAGCCCCGCAACTGCCCAAGAGGCCCGGGGGGGCCTCAAACCTGCCTCCCAGAGGCCCCGAAGAGGCCAACCACGAGATCCCAACCAACATCCGTGAGGCCTCTGACCCACCACCCAGGCACGGTGCCTGGCGTGCTAGACCCTCTCGGTTTTGGTTTTGGTTCTTTTTCCAAAAGAACTCCTCCTGGGGCTCCGGCGCGTCCCGCCGGGGTCTCAGGATTTTTTCCACGGACCTCAATTCACGATTTTTCTGCCCAAGACGGCTCCAAGATGGCCTCCAAGATGCCTCCAAGACGGCCAGGATGGCCTCCAAGACGGCTAAGATGGCTTTAAGATGCCTCCAAGACGGCCCAAGATGTACCCAAGACGGCCCAAGAAGGCCCAAGATGCCCCCCAGAGACCTCCCAGACAGCCCAAGAGGCCTCCAAGAGGTCCTCCAGGAGGGCCCGAAGAGGCCAAAATCATTGATTTTCCTTACGGGATTTTGGAATGTGCTTCTTCTCGGCATTCCGACGGCTCAAGACGGCCCAAGAGGCCCCCAAGATCGCCCAAGAGGCCCCCAAGAGGGCCCCATGACGGCCCAAGTGGCCTCCAAGACAGCCCCAAGAGGGCCCCAAGACGGCCAGAGAGGCCTCCAACACGCCCAAGGTGGCCTCCAAGACGCCCAAGATGGCCTCCAAGACGGCCCCGAAGCGCCCCAAGAGGGTCCCCCGTTGGCCCAGCAAGGCCCCCAAGACGGCTCCCGACGCCGTCAGACGTGCCAGGAACGCACGAAGTTGGCTCGAAGCTGGCTCAAGATGGCCCAAGAGGCCCCCAAGAGGGCCTCCAGGAAGGCCAGAAAAGGCAAAACACATTAATTTTCCTAAGGTTTTCGACGGATTTGACATTTCCTTCTTTTCAGCCTTCCGACGGCCCGAGACGGCCCCAGAGCCCCCAAAGATCGCCGAAAGATCGCCCAAGAGGCCTCCAAGACGGCCAAGATGACCTTCAAGATGCCCACGTGTTCCCCGAAGGCTTTCCAAACCGATTCGGGGAACACATGGTCCGATAGCTTGGCAGGTCTGGCCTCAACGTTCGGCCACATAGGCGCTTCCAAAAAGGCAGGGGGCGGCGGTGATTCGCCGTAGGCGTCTTCGATCCGCCGCCCCCTTTCGATTCATCGCAGGGGTGCCTGGCGTGCTGAACCCTCTCGATTTTGGTTTTGGTTCTTTTTCCAAAAGAACTCCCCCTGGGGCTCCGGCACGTCCCGCCGGCCACCGCGAAACTGCATCAGTCAATGCCAAAAACGGCCGTTTCGCTCGGGACATCCTCAAAACATCGCGAAGATGGCCCAAGATGGCCTCCAAGTCCGCCCGAGATGGTC